AGAGTAGGATATTTTCACTTGCAAAAGATGAGCAATGCCTAAAATTAAAAGCAGCATGGACAAAGTGAGTAGGAAACAGTTAGTTGATGGCTCTTGTAAGCAGCTTCAGAAGCTCAAACAGAACACTGTACTGCAGCTCTAAAGCAAAGGATGTACTTTAGTAGGTAACACATAATCCTGAACATGCTGCCAGTGGATGCTATGAAGGTCAAAAGTATAAAGTGATAGGATGCAAGTCTAACATACTTGAAAGATGGTGGTGCATCTCTTGATTTGTTTGTTTTTTTTGATGACAGCTCATATCCTAATATGCCTATGCTTATAGCTTGTCATATCCATTTTGCTGGGGGAGCAGCATAGGTGTGACTCCAAACTAGAAATGAATCAGACTGTAAACTGCTAGACTCAGCTATTAGCACATAGTGTAGAAATAGAAACGCATTTGCAGTACTGAACTGCTGATCCCAATGATGGCAAATTACAATGATGACAATGTTTAGTAGCTGTGAGTGGGGAAACAATAATATGAAACAGATTCCTGGAGGGGTACTTTTTTATTGTTGATTGTGCTACATCTGACTGTTGTATGCTAAAATGACTAATCTGCAGCGCTCTGATATGAATTTTGTGTTACCGAACAAATAAATGAATGATGCATCTTCACCTAATGCCACTCCTAAAGATGAAAAACTGAAAAGGAAGGTACAGGAGAGATTTGGTGGCTTTCTTCTTTTTAGAGGAAATGCATTCTCAGTATTTGTGATAGATTTCTTTCTTTTTGCTTCTAGAATGCTAGTAGTGAAAGTTTAGCTTGTTGTGAGACAAGAGTGTAGATATTTATTTTTTTTTCTTCACAGGCTGCAAACCCAGAGGAAGATGACATATTAGCTGACGTAAATCCAAAACCTAAGGAAGAAATTGATATTATTACAAGAACAGAGGAATTATGTCCTTCTGTTTCTTCAGATGATGCGCAGCAGGCCGTTCCAGGCCAGAGTGAGGTGGTACATAGTTACAAATCTGTAACTCCAGAAACTAAAGAGTGTTCTCCTACTGCAGAAGCTGAGAAGACTAGTTCCAGTTCAGTTGATCAGACTACACATGATATGCCTGTTAGTCCTTCAAGTTACAGAGCACTATGTGGTGTTGAAAACTGTGTTCGTAAAGAGATCAGCCTTGTTCCTGATGGTGATAAACTGCCACCACTTTTGCTTGCAGTGGGTGAAAAAGGAAAAGGTAAAATTTGAGAAAATTGTTAATATTTAATCACCTGAAGCAAGATTTCTAAATATGAACTTGTGTGTATGTAATTTGTATTGTAATACAATTCTAATCTCTCTTATTTGCTGCACATGGGATTGTTGGATAATTGAACATGCATTATTAACAAGATCGATATGCTATGAAAAGAATACTTCATCGCTGAAATGCATTATAGTAGTCACTGTGCTCATTGATGGTAACTAACAGTACCAGTGTATGGGTGAGGAGATAGCATACACAATTAGTCAGTAATTACCAAATGAATGATAGCCCTAATTTGCACCTCTGTTACAAGTTACTGCTTTATTTTTGTTTTCCTTGAATCTCAGGGTAAGCTATTCATTGGTTGATCTGTAGCTATTCTAAGTTTGAGAATAATTACCACCCTCTTAAGACAGGTGAATGGGACAGTCTTTCATATGCTATGATCTGTAAATTCTTATTTTAGGTAGTTGACTGACATGTTGAGCTAAATCGGGTGTTAATTTATTTAGATCCTCTAGTGGAAGAACATCCATCTCAGCAACAGGTCACCTTGCTTCTTGTGGAAGGAGGTCCTAATCCATTAACTTTTATCCTAAATGCAAACTTGCTTGTGAATGTCAAGCTAATAACTTGTAAGTAGTGCACACTTTCTTTTCTGTTAAATCCCGCTTTCTTTTTCTGACTGTAAAACAGCATTACTGTGGTATCTCTCTCTTTTTAATGAAAGATTCTTCGGAAAAGTGCTGGTACTTCTCAACAAATGGACTACATGGTTTGGGTCAGGCAGAAATTGTCATTCTGTTGCAGTGTTTGCCAGATGAAGAGATTTTTCCTAGTGAAATATTCAAATTATTTATTGACATCTATAAGGATGCAATGAAAGGTATGTCATTTTAATGTCTAACTTTTTATTATATCTTCTTGCTGATCTTTAAAGCTGGAAGTTGATAAGTAATTCTTCTTGAAGTATTTGTAAGTATCTAATGATTCTGTTGAAAAACCTTGCAGTGTTAGCCTTGGGTTCTAAACAATCAACAGGAAGAAAAGAATTTAAGTTTTTGTTTCATATACTTCTGTAAACATCCTGTTTGCAGGTTTTTTTTGTTGTTGTTTAGTCATATTGTGTTGGAGATTCTGGGTATAAGTCCTTGAGTCTATGGTTTAGGACATCTGGAACTTCATTTGTAGAAGTACAATACTCGTGTGTAAATACTTGAGGTCTGTTAATCAGAAGTTCATCAATTGGTGTGTGCTGGAACATTGTACACTTTAGGGTGTTTGGCATTTGTTTGGAAAAACCTAGTTTCTTATTCAAGATCATTTAGTTAGTAAATATAGAGCAGTTAGTCTATGGGTTTAGGTGTCTGTCAGACTTTCAGGAAGATGTGGGATACACCGTATGGCTTGCAAGTCTGTAGGAGACCACTGGTTAGAATAGTTTCCTTGACACTAATGTATTACTTCTCCAGATGTGCAGAGTCTCTGTCCCTCTTTCTACAGGAAGGTTAATAAGAAACATGGAAAACATTACTTTTACTGAAAACTTTCTCAGTAACAAAGAACATGGAGGATTCCTGTTTGTTTCACCAACTTTTCAGAACCTTGATGATCAAATTCTACCAGATAACCCTTTTCTTTGTGGCATTCTGATCCATAAGCTGGAAATACCCTGGGCAAAAGTTTTTCCAATCCGTTTAATGTTGAGATTGGGAGCAGAATATGGGGGTAAGTTTTAAGACTTTAAATAGCTATATAAATATAAAATTTCCTTTGGAAAATACAAGTTTTTTAGATAAGCAAAATTTTTAAAATCATCTTTGCAGTATTTTACATTACACTTGTGTAAGACTGATATTTCATGCATGGGAAGCTACCTGTTGAGACACTTGGGAATTTACATTGTCCTGCTAGACACCCTCGATCTCTTTTTTCTGTTCTTAGCTGGTGAGAAAGCTAAGAAACCAAAGCTGACAGTAGTAAAGTATCAAAATGTCGGATTTTTGTTGTCATAGGAGAAAGGTGTGAAGGCAAGTTCACAAGCCCAATTTACAACTCTGACAAATTGTTTTTTTTAAATTGAATTACTGAAATTGAGTATATTGGCAACATATTACTGCTTCATAAAATGAATAAAGGTATTCATTACTTATAAGGATAACTTACTAATAAATACATTTGAAATATTTAGGCTTGTAAAAATGCAGGAGGCATACTTTCAAAGTGAGGTGGATGGAGAGCATGTAAATGTGCACCACCAGAGGTTTCGCAGTGACACAACCTCCGTGTGGGAATTATTGTACAGTCTGTTGTAGGCTAATGTGAGCATTTTCTGCTCTCCCAATGAGACTTACATTGACTCTGCTCCAGGCTCACCAAAGGAAAGTGTTTACGCAGATTTCCATTGTGTCGAAGAACAGATAAAGCTATCTTGAGCAAGACCTGAAAGAGATACTGTCCTAAATGCCTTCTGGAGTTGCTTGTGTACTTGCTTGAATAACACAGACATTCAATTTGGTGATACAGGTGCTGTTTTATTTCTTGTTTCACTGCTGCTTATGATTTAGAGAGCTGGAGTTCAGATAAGGTGCAGCATGCAGCTGTTGCTTAAGTAGAATATATTTCAAAAATGTATCATACACAACTTTCCTGACCTGAATGCATTTTTGATAAATAAGCCTACCATTCTAGAAGCTCCAAGTCCATAAATACGTATCACTCGCTTGTTTATGGATTTCTTGAGTCAACAGTGGATTTCTACTGGCCAGGCTTCTGTCTGTGTGTTGATAAGGGTGGTAGCTTCTTTGTCATTCTTCTTCCTCTTACCAAACTACTTGTCTTTTTTTTTTTTTCATCAATTTTGTATCTTTGACCTCACAATCCTGACTTTGCTATGCTGCTTCTTTTGTTTTCAAATGGCTTCATATGGTGGTCTGTGGTCTCCTGCATCTCATTGCCTTCCCTAATTTCCGTTTGCCTGTGTTTCCCATTGCAGCCATTGGACTTCAGAGTATGTTACTTTGTATGAACATCCTCACTCACTCTGTTCTTGCTTATCAATACTAAGTGGTACTTCACTTTGTATTATAGCATTAATGTAGAAGCAGATAACCTGTATGGTATTCTTAATCAAGCAACTATGAAGACTTGCAACCCCTCTCGCATTTGGTGACCCAAAGACTGAACCCAGGATGTTTCCATCCAGATCACCTATTGCAAGAAACAGCTGCCAAAGCATTTGAAAGCAGCAACAAGTCTCTGCCACAAAAGTACTGCCACTAGGAGAGTGACTCCATGCAGTAACATTGCAGTAGGATTTAACTGTGGGTGGGGGAAACCATGCAGTAGGCTGAAGGACACTCTGTGACAGAGAATCAGATAGGGGCTCTTGTTCCTTTGGCTGGTCAGGTATTGAGATTAAGAAACATAGGCTATAGCTGAAAATAAAAATAACTACTTGGATTGGCCAGGCTTACAGTTTTGATAGGTAAACATAACCTTTTTCTTTCTTCCCCCACCCTAGCATACCCAACTCCTGTAGTAAGTTTCAGGCACCGGAAGCCACTCTTTGGAGAAATTGGACACACAATTATGAATCTGCTTGTTGTGAGTAAATGTTTTATTCTCTTCCTTTCCTGTTGTAATTTCAATGGTGTAAAATGCCCTCTAGACTCTGATTCTTGAAAGCAGGGTTATTTTTGGCAAAGGGCTAATATTTTTGTTCTTCATACCTGACTTGAAATTTTCTTACCAAAGAGTCTTTATATGTGAATTAGGAAAGCTGTATCTTTTGTGTTACATTGTTACACATTAGTTCTGGTAGTAAGAAATGGCTTTAAATGAATGAGAAAAATGTTGACATTCACATTTAAGCTGGTAGTAATCATTGTTCAGTTGCATTTTTCTCTTCCAAGCATTGGTGTGGTGCAAGAATTCTAGTTTTAAATCTGACATTTTTTGAATCTGATGAAAAGGCTTGACAGGCAGATGCTGTGGTCTAACAACAATTACTTTGTCACACAAACTTAACCTTACCACGATTAACCAGTCTGTCCTATGTGAAGAACTTCAGGTTTTGGCAAAATCAGAGTAAGTCAAGTCTGCATTTATGCCATTCTCTGAGGAAGTTTTTCCTCTGTTACTCAAATAATTTGATTTAAAATTCAGTAAGCCTGTATTCCTGACCAGTAACCACCTTCTAATACTTCGATAGAACTTATCCTTAATGCTGTGATGAAAAGTGCTGTAAGGTTGTAGAGAGAATTGCACATATTGCTTAGGTGATCACTAAATCCTCTTTTAAGAGTCTAGAGACCATTACAGCGAGATGAAACTGCAGTCTTTGGCCCCTCTTTCCTTTTCGTCACTGTTGATGTCCATGCCATTACATTAGGAATCAATCAGGAGTTGCACCATCTGAAAAACAGTAAGATTCCTCCATTAAGAAAAAAATATTTTAATTCCGTGAGCCAGCTCCCTGCTTGATTGGTGAAGTGCTGGTACCAATGTGTAATTGCATCTTCAGACTTTGAGTAGTCTTAATGTTGTGCTGCTGATGAAGCAGGCTTCTATAGAGTTTATTTTCAGCTGGATTAGAGTGACTCTGGTTCTCCTTCATAGCTGTGTTTGTAGTGTCAGCTTGAAGCAGGCAGTGGGAATATATGGTTCTTGGCAGGCCAAGGTCTTTTGATGCAGCAGGAGTTTTAATCGTTGTAAGATGACTGCAAAATTGTTCTCTTGATGTTACGTTTTTAACTACCTGTGGCGCAAATCCTCAAGTAAAGATCCTATAAAATCTAGCACCGCATAAGTGACCGAGGTAGTGGTAAATGTTGGAGGCAAAGGGTGTCTGTCATGTATATCCTTAATATTTCTAAAACAATGCCAGTTCAGTTGAAACTTATAATGCAGTGATATGTGTTCATAAATACCCTTCTCACTACAGCTCTGCTGATTGAGGAAGATACTGATTACCTGGCTCAGCTGGTGACAAAGCCTTTTCTATGTTTTTTGAGCTGAGCTAGTAAAGGCAAATGAGATCATGTTATACCTAACGTTGTTCTTCTGGAATAAAACAGAATAAGGAAATCTTGCAGAAGTGGCTGAGATGATGGATGGTAACTTCTGTCAGAGAAAGGTATAAGAAACAGTGCAGTATTCAAGCTATAACTCAAGAAGTTAGAGCTGTAGGGGACAGGGTGTGAGCCTGGAAACAAACTAACCTAGGTGGTGGCTTCCATGCTTTGCTTTTATTTCAGAGAGGCAAGGTGTTGAAGTATTTTGTTATCTAAAACACTGTAAGATCCTAATGTGCATAAAGTAGCCATAGTCTAAATAACCCACTGTTAAGTAGTTAGAGCTACCTTGTCAGTGCTATAAATTTGTTAATATATTCACTAAGGTACCCTTCACATCCATCACACTAGGAAAAAAGTGATCAGTGAGTCTTTAGCCACCCTTAATGTCATTACTCTTTAGAAGTCTTAGGGATGTAAGTAAAGTACTTTTGGTAATATTTATTACAAAAGGTAAGAAAACTATACTTAATTGTCTGCTAAAGTAAAAACTTCTATTATAGGATCTTAGAAATTATCAGTATACTTTGCATACCATAGACGACCTGTTTGTTCATGTGGAAATGGGTAGAAGCTGTATTAAAATACCCCTAAGGAAGTATAATGAGGTGAGTAAAACCATCTAGATTAGCTTTCTAATCCAAACTGCTTTAATCTTTATTTTTCGTATAATACCAGTCACATCTTTAACATGAGCTCTTTAAAAAAAAAGGGGGGGGGGGGGGGGGCAAAAGGGGGGGGTTCCTAGGGGCTGGAATGTTTTTTTTTTTTAATT